TTTAATTAACCATCACTTCACATCATTTTTCTCCTACTTTTACATCTATCAATTTTATTTTTTTATTTTAAATATTATTTTAGTCTAAACTCAAAATCTCACTAACAATATCACTTTTTTTCAATATTATTTCTAGTTAACACAAAAAAAAAGTCATTTAAAAGAATATATTTATATCTAAGTACGCAACACAACTTGTGAGAGTGGACACAGGGAAATGGATTTTTTATTTTTTTGGGTTAATATTGGTTAATTTGATAAACTGGGTTAAGAGTGAATACAAAAATTGATTGGGTGGAAGTAGTCGTGGCAATTTTCCGGTTTTGGACCAGTTCTAGGCCAAGGGTTGGAGGGTCTAGAACCGGCCCTAGTATATGCACTGGTCGATTCAGCGAGTCGGCGATTTTGGGCCGATTAAGTGAACTGCCAGTTATGGATCGTATTTTATTTTTAATGGAGGGGTTTAAAGAAATTGGACTTGGGCTTAGTTGATAAACTATAAGTTAATATGTCAATTAAATTGAATAATTTCTTTTGCGTTAAAAATTAATATTTTAACTTATAGTGTGTCAATTAAGTTGCTTACATATTTTTTAACTTAAGAACTAAAGTTAGTCTCTTGCTTTATTTATCTTGATGCAAGTAGACGACACGATGTGTCGTTTTTAATAATATATAATATGATTTGTTTGAGTGAGGATGATGTGTCTAGAAGACAAAAAAAAAATGTTGTCTACAAGGAGGTAAAATATTGATTTTTATCCTATTCTCTTAATTTTCTTTATTCAAAATTTATATAAAATGGCAATTATGTTTTAAAGAAAAAACTAGTATAATACCCGTGTACTATATGGGTATTTAAATATATTAATATTTGTAATTTTATTGTGAAATTATGTATGATGAATGCAACAATAATAAATAACTAACAAAGTGATAATTAATTCAAATGAGGCTTCGTATTTTTACACTAAATTTGTCGAATAAGATATTTTTAATTATATTTTTAAATTATATATGTATAAAATTGATATTATTTACAATTTCAAATATTTGATTCATTTATTTTTAAATAAAATAAGTTTTATTGTATTGTGATTATATTTTATATTTATAGAGTCAGTGTTTCACGTTTATTAAATTTTCATGTATTTCACATTCATATAATTAATAATTTAGATTTTATGTACAAAGGTATTATTTTCTATTTTTATAAAATACGAAATTATTTTATTATATTTAATTATGATTATTTTATAATTTTATTTTAAATAACATAATAGCATTCAATTTTTTTACATAATCTATTTAAATTGAGAAATAATATTTTATAATATTTCTTAAAGGTTTTATAATTAAATTTCAGTTTTTATTCAAACTTTTTGGAAAAAAAACAATAAAATGATTATGTTTTGGTGTATTAATGAATAAGTTTTTCATTTGTTTTATAAAATAATTTATATTGTTCTATGATGTTTTTTAAATTGAGTTGCCAATAAAACTTATTTTACTATAAATATAAGTGAAATTATTTCTTATTTTAATATGGATATCAAGATCGTTAAAATATGATTATTTTGGTAGATCATATATAACAAATTAAATAGAAATAAAAAAGTTATAAAGTTTTAAAATTAAAAAGAATACATATTTATAATAATTAATACTACCTCCTATATTTTTTAAATGTCATTTTGGTTATATCGACAATTAACTAGATAAATGACGTTTTGGATCTTTTGTACATATTTTTTCATTACTTTCATCTAGCTAATAAATACACTACGTCTTTTATATTCATTTTTCACCTTTTTTTTTTCTGAAAACATCTATCTATATCTTCATTAATGAAGGTTATAATTGGAAAAAAAATCTTAATTACTGTGCACTTTTCAAAACCACATTTATTAAAAATAAGAGGGGTATATGAATTAAATAAAAAAGGCAAGTGTAGTAAATGGTAACTTTAGAAAAAAAAAAAAAATTAAAATAGTTTATGGTAATTCTCAAGTCTAATAGTCAAAACCGAATTCAAACATGTGTCAATGTGAAGCACCAATCCATGTCAAATAAGCTTACGAAACACATGAACCTACCATTTAAATCGAACGCAGTGGCGAAACCAGCCGGTCATCACGGGGAGGGCCCAATTTGTCGCGGCGCACCACCCCCACTCCGGCATCGGAAGGGCGCTCAAAGGGCTTTTGTGGACGCTCTCAAAAATTTTCACAGGATATAAAGGAATACTCTAGAGATTTTTACAAAAATCAAACTAAGTCCGAAATTAAACTTGTATACTTAAACTGAATTGTTTTAACTCGAAAAATACTCAAATTTATACTAATAAAAATCTCAGACTCAATTATAATAATAATCAAGAATTATACCTCCTTTCGAATAGACGAAAAGCTGAAAAAATTGAGAAAACGAAGCCTCAAACGATCGAACTCGTCCTCGACAAATTTGCTCCTTTTGATACTATTTAACGCAGAAATTGAAACTCCCATAATAAATGCTCGGAACTCCAAAAAATACGAAATTTGTCCGTATGGAATCGTGCTTGAATTGTCTACACGCTCCAACTCGATTCTCGTTAAACCAAGGTCACACGCAACCTTACGGAATCCCGCAAGATGGCTTTTTATTCTTCTATTATGCGCATTCGACTTCGAGCTTCTCAAAATAAATGCTCGAAACTTCGAAACGTGAAATAAATTTTACGAGCGGCTTCTACTGTTCTCGCGCTTTCAAGAAAGTACTCCCGCTAATTTTCAGCACGCCTAACGAGGACCGACGGTTACCCGAAGTCTAGACATGAAAATGACAATAAAATCACCGTCATTGCCATTTTTCTCTCAACTTCGGGCTACCCAAAATAAATGGTCGGGACCTCAAAATCATAAATCGATGCCACCAACGCACTCTCTGCTTCCCGTACTTTCATAAAAGTATTTTTCGGTAATGATCGACTCAGTTTTTTAGTCCCGTCGGTACACCGCAAGTCGGCTAATTAACCACCAACTCAAAAAATAATAAAAATGAAAAAATTATTAAATTCTGCAACTGTTATAGTTCTCCTTGTCCCGAAACCAGGATCCCATTTCGGGAAGGGCCCAATTTGCCTTTAAAAAAATTTTCACGACAAAACCGGTGGCGCCCCTCCATCCATGTATGTACCGCATTAAACTGGGGAGGGCTGATGACGGATCGATCTTTTGTCTATACTGGGTTGCGAATAAACGACGCACTACGGCCTTCGTTTATCCCCGATAGGTGTATCTAGCAGACGCACTCAGGGCCTTCTTCTAGATACCGTGACTTCAAGACGCACTATTGGCCTTCTCTCCGACACTGCATGTAAAGACGCACTAATGGCCTTCTTTATCACACGTTAAGAACATAAAGTTCCCCCTCAAGATTGGCTCACCAATTCAATACTTCATTCAACATTTTAAATATGATGAGGTACATGGGGTATTTATAGTTGTAAAATAAATCTATGCCTAAATCTAATAGATCTCCTAAATATTGCAAGAATAGAAATCCTAAGTCTAGAAAGCAATAAAATCCTAAACCTACCAAATAACTATTGCTTGGCTTGCACACCAAGCAAATCTAGAAGCTCCCTAAAAACAAACCCTACATGCTAAACTCTCGGCCGCCCCTTACGCGTCGCGCCGCCCGTCCGTGTGCCCTAGTCCTTGGCGCGCGAGGCATCGCGCGCCCCGCGTGTCCCGTACGCGTGCGCCCCAGCTTCTCCTAGTCCCGCGCGGATTGGGTCTTGCGCGTGTGCTCCCCAGTCGCGCCCACCATCGCACGCCTCGCCCTTTCCGTCCACTGTCCGCGTGTGCGTACGCTCGCCTACGTCTCCTAATCCGGCCCCGCCTAGGACTCGTTCGTCCGCTCCTGCCCGCGCATCACCCGTGCCGCCTAATCCTTCGCAGCTTAGGACTCCACCCGCGTAGCCCATACTCGCGCGCCTATCGCGCGCCTCGTTGCCGCCGGCTTCTTCGCGCGCGTCCTTGCTAACGCCCAGGCCCCCATCGCCTACGGCGTATCCCCGCGCATCGTTCGCGTTACTGCACGTCCCAGCCGTCCCCATGGCCTGGTCACCTATCGCACACCCAGTGTGCGTCGCGTCCTCGCTGCCCGACGCCCGCTCTTCACCGCCAACTCCCGTGGCCCGTACGTCCATTGCTGGTGCATCATCATCGGCCGTCCAACTGCGCGCATCATGGGCCGATGCGCGCCACTCGCCCATTAGCCGATCATTGTCGTCCTTGTTACCACTCGTTCCCATCGGCTCGGGCCATGGATCCCAACCCTTTAATCTCACACAATCATCCGCCGGTATCCACCACCCATCCTTCACCCATCGTAAGCCACGCCTTTTAGCCTCCTTCCTTTGAGCTTGTCGTTTCTTTGCACAAGGCTCGCACCTACATTGATTTGCTCTTCGGGCCCGTGCTTTGCGTTGTCTCTTGGTCGTCCGTTTCCTTACCATCGACTTCAGCTTTGGCCCACAACCTTTTGGCCAATCTTGTATACTTAATGGCCGGTAAATAGGACTAGATGGCGCCTCCAACATATTTTCCAACCAAATATCAAGATCATCGCCATCATCATTGTCGGACTCACCGGGGTTGATGACCACTTCCGTATCAAGGGCCCAACATGTGCGCTCAAAGAAAAATCTTCCAGTTCCAGCAAAATTCTCCACCTCTAATTTAAATTTATTTTTTTTTGGAGGGGCCGGCGCCTCTCCAATGTTATACATGGTTTCGCCTCTGATGGAACGCATTCGAGAATTATATATAGGCGCAATTACTTATCACGTTAAAAAAATACTATGTTAATTGTAACCAAGATTGAAATTGATCGAGCATAAGGACACCTTTGGCGTGGATCGAATCAAGAAATCTCCAACTTTTCTTTTTGAGCCTCTTCTAATTTGTCATCGTCTTCTTTAAGCTGTTCGCTGTTACTTTATCCCAATTGCCAAAAGTCAAACAAGAAACGCCGGCGTTTTATTCCTCAAACGCCGAGGATCTGAGCTGGACACATCTTCCCTGGTTGCCGGCTGTAAGATTATTTCTGCTTATGTTCCTTACTTGAATGTAAATGTAGTACTTGATGTTAGTTTACTGCTTTCGGTTCGTATTTTTGGGAAGATACTACGGCCCGTGACGGAATTATTTTGTCGGATTTTGTAATTAGATCAACTATCACTGGCGGTTACATCATGATCTAACGGTTCCTTAACGTGACCGTAGCATTTCCCCGCCTTTTGAAACCTTTAGTTAATTTAAGCTATTGTGATACCCCAAGTGATGTATATCAAAATTGTGGTTGTTTGGACTGCATTTCAGCTCGTAAAATATTATGCGAAGGCTCAAAAATTGATTTTTAAGAGTTATTTATCTAGCTTACCGATGGTGTTTCAGCTTTGGTCCTGAACTGTGTAAAAAATGTTCAATTTGAAAAAAAAAAATGAGTGCTTAACTCACTTATGCTAGTGGCTTCCTTTGCAGCTTGTTAATATCCCTAGAAAGTTTCCCTCTTTTCATCGTTAGTTTTTCGGAGAAAGTGAACCCGAAAAGTGGAGAACGCGAAATGGGTGAGGCTGGTAAGAGGATGGTTTTTGTGACTGTTGGGACAACTTGTTTTGATTCTTTGGTGAGAGCAGTAGATACGCTTGAAGTTAGACGAGCATTGTTTGAGAAGGGCTATACCGATCTTGTTATTCAAATGGGTCGGGGTTCCTACATTCCCACAAAGGTAATTTGATGATATTATGCTAGTCTTTATACCTTGAACATGGTGATTAGATTGTCTTGGAAATTTGAAAGAGATTATTTGAAACATATACATCCTTGTTTGTTTGAAATGTTGATCTTGAAGACGATGGAGATGTAAAATAAGAAAGGCAACAAAATTTTTTTTGTGATCATATGTGCATTTTTAGCATCAGCCGTAGCATATTTTTGTAATTGTTAATTAACCTGGCTCTGTTAGAATTTCGATTCTCTGAACTTGGATTGCCTGAACTACTCATACATTTCTTCATTTTTGATATAGCATTTTATGTGTCAGTGCCGATCACCCGATGATCAATCTCACTAGTACTTCTACTCCCGCCTTGTAATCTAATAATATACTTTGTCAATAGATTTAGTAGCCACTGAAAATCTTGTAAACTTTTGTTATTTGAGATGCATTTAAGTTTGTTTTCACCTGCCAAATTTGGCTATGTCTATTTTATTTTTCTTTTGTTAATACGTAAGGACAAAGTCTGTTTACCCGGTGAAAAGAAATAGGTGGAAATAGGTGGAAATGTTATCCGGTGGAGACGGGTTTTAGGATGACAGTTTCTGCTACTAGAATCTCTTACTGGCAACTTATTTCACTGTCATTTATTTATAGTTTGTATTTGCTGGCGTTAACTTTCAGTCTACCGGAGGAGACAGGTCCGTTTCTGTGGATTATTTTACATTTTCATCAAGCATAGCTGATTATTTGAAGTCGGCATCTCTTGTAATCAGTCATGCAGGTAGCTTATATTTTTCTTGCACTGAATATACTTCCTGAAGAGTTTCCCCTTTTTCTTCATTTATCAGTACTCAAGTGAGAAGGGAGGAGATATTAAGAAAAGGAAAAAGCGAAAAGGGAAATGGCGAAAACTGATGTCATTCTCTCTTCATTAACCAACCAATAATTGTTGGAAATATATAAAGCAATAATATCAAGATCCTTGTACGAAACTCTTGTCAACTTTGATAATTACAAATACCCCATTCAAAGTTTTGTGAAAACCCAATACAGTCTTCATGGGGCATTGTAATATTTAAGGACAAATCGGTTTTGTTATGATTCAATTGAACTCTATGAATCTAATCAACCCTATGTATGTATGGATATATTCAAATGATTTGTATTCATCGTCATTCTTGTTGGAATTAAGACTCGTGGATACATGGTGTCCGTTATAATTTTCTCTAATATATTTTTCTCTTCATTTTTTTTATCCGTCCTTTTAGGTTCAGGGAGCATATTCGAGTCACTGCGGCTTAAGAAACCTCTTATCGTTGTCGTTAATGAGGATTTAATGGACAATCATCAAAGTGAGCTGGCTGAAGAATTAGCTGAGAGAAAGCATTTATTCTGCGCTCGTCCACAGACACTCTACATGACTGTTTCCTCAATGGATTTGGGTTCTCTTGTGGATTATGAACCTGGTGATGCTACTCCAGTGGCTAATTTTATTAATAGGTTTTTGGGTTTTGGTGATGAGTGACAATAAGATTAAATTCTTCTTTCTCATGATAAATGTCTCGTTTGAAGGGCTGCTCAGAACTTTTTTTACTTTTTTTTTTCGAAACGATAGATTAAATAGACTAAGAAATATTTACAATGTTCGGCGGCGTACTAGCCAATAAGGACCAAGAGGCCATACAATGAGGTACATCCACAGATGTCCTAAATGAAATAACAACCCAAACCCAGTTAAAAAGTGGCAGAGACAACGCAACTGGAACCGCTATTAACAATCCACCAAGAACTTTTTTTTACTTCACTGCAGACTAATGTCATATATTTTAGTCAGTTTTTTCATTAATGTATATATTTATGTTTTCTTGCACTGTATCACAGATTTTTTATATTACAACAAAAAAAGTTGTTGATGTCCCATGTGTGCATTTGGTGTAATGGTCATACTTTTTACTTTTCAGTAAAATTTTACGATTCACACATAAAGTTTACGTTATACAATCTCATCGTAAATTTAGTGCCTTTTCTTTTCTTCGCTTTATTTTAGGTCGAAGTCGAGAACGGGCAATTTTTATTATTCCCGAGAAGGGTGCTTGTTGCAGCAAAAGCTTCAGCACCACCAACACCTGCACCAGCACCGGTCATGGAAGGTGGCCTTGTCCAGTGGAGATTTGTTTTCAGATGGTTAATGAGGTCGGATGACCTGAGTTTTATATAGTAAACAACCAAAAATTATATGGAGTCATCGGATGATTTTCTTATGGAGCCATTCATTGCTTAATATATTAGCACCTGTCCAAAGTGTAATTATTGTAGGACACGTGTCAATACACTATTGATGAATAAGTGTGGATGACTCCATAAGTCGAACCATCCGAGAACTCTATAGCAAAACTGACAAAAGAACTCGGTTTTCCAATTACACTTGGTAGTCTTTTAAAATGAGTGATCGACTAAGAAGCACATACACGAACACGGGTACGGCGACACGGGTACGGCGGGACACGGATACGTCAATTTTCTAAAAAACTAGGATACGGGTACGGCGGGATACGACAATAAAAAATAATTTTTTTTTTTTTTATTTTTTATATGTAAAAATTTCATTTTAATTGTAAATATTAGTACTTTCTATTCAAATAGAAGTAGATTAATCATATAAAAATAGAGCTCAACATTAAAATAATACCAAGTCTCATAAATATATTGAAAACCAATGTAAACATAAGTTAAAAGACTTTAGAGAGAAAATATTCAAATAAGAGTAAAAGACTGAACGTTCTTTTTCTTGTGAGTTGTGTGGGTTAAGTGAAGTTAATAGAAAAGCATCTCAAGTAATTATTAATTGAGTCAGAGAAGTTTAAAAGTCTATTAAATAACCAATAAATAAGATTGTTATCCCCAAAAAAATAAAAAAAATAAAAAATTAAGGGCAATGAAGAGTTGGCGTGTCCCCGGAGTGTCTTCGCCGTATCCCGGAGTGTCTTCGCCGTATCCCGCCGTGTCCATATAAAATTGCCGTGTCCGTGCATGTCCCCGGCGTGTCCGTGTCCGACACTGCACCGACACCGGTACGGCAGTCATGGAGGAGTGTCCGTGCTTCATAGGTGATCGAATATGTCTTTTATTTTTACAATAAATAATGGGCATTTATACTATTAGATTCACGGGTGCGTTTCTCGGTGCACGCACGTTGCCATTTAATGTGATTCGATGGCGGTGTGTTGCCCTGCGGCATAAGTCCACATGATGATTACTTCTCGTATGTCCAATTAATAAATGTCACGGTCGCATTAAATGAGCTGTAGAAGCCGACCTTCAAGGGATGAGGTCGGCTTCTCTAAGGTGGGATAACCGAGCTCTTCACAGAACTTGCCTCATCTTGACTGCTCTCCTTCATTATTTACGATCGTAGGTCGATTACAGGGTGAAGAGGTCGGGTCTCTTGCCTGATCCTTAGTTTATACCGAGCCGTTGTCTGCAGTAACCGCTACAGTGGGTGAGTCTAGTCGACTCATTCAACTCGCCTCCTTTTGGCCAGACACCGTGTAATCCACGCCACGTGTCATATGATTAAAGGGTCTGCTAGTTGTATATAGTAAGAAAAATTAAAATGAAAACATTTTATGAAATAATAAATATATATTGAATAATGTGATTTTGATATTCAGAAAATATTATGTTCTTTTACTTTTAAAGATTAATTGTATATCGTTGGGATATATTATTATACTAATAACTATTTATTTACCAAGTAATTTTAGATTTATTAATGGGCCCGCGGCCGGCTCGTCGAATGGACGGTGGGTCTTTCTTTAAGACCCGCCAGTGAGAGGGCCTAAACAGGCCCTTCTGATCTAGCCCGCGGGCCGGCATGCCTCATATATAATAGACCTTCAGGATTAAATGAAATCGAAACGAAGATCAAGGCCGTTGATTTCCAATCCCCGGAATAAAAGACGGGCACGTCAAACACACAGCACACGCACACACACACGCACACGCGGACACGCCTAATCTACACACAGTTCACATAAAATCTACACACACAAAACCTCGACCTCTCTGACCCGTCGTCTTCTTTGTCGACTCCGACTCCACTTCCGCCTCCGACTTCCCCCTTCGAATCCGACCTCCTCGTCCGACCTCCACCCAGTCTCCGAGTCGAAGCTCGCCGCCCGGTCTCAGTCCACGACCTCCGACTCCGACCTCCGCGTTCGGCTGGCGATTTTCTCGGTTTCCGTACATTCCAGGTCTCCGACCACCCTGCGGTTTCCCGGTATCCGTCCATTACCGGTCTCAGGTATTTTCAATTCTATCTCCGGCCCTCTGAAAATCTGTCAAATTGTGGCTTAAAAGCACTGAATATGCGATGGTGAAGTTGACTGAAATTTTGTGGCTTAAAAATATGAAATTCAAGCTGAAAATATATTAATTTTGGGGCATTTGAGGCTGATGCTTTTGGTTTGTGATGATGGTGGCATGATTCTTTTTGGATTGTGATGATTTTGGTTTTTCAATTATGATTATTGTTTTGTCAAATTTTTTTAAAATTATTTTTTTTCGGTACAAGTTTATTTTTAAAAAATAAAAGCAGGTTTTTGGATTATGCTTTTGGTTCATTTTTAATAAAGAAAGCAGTTTTTTTTTAAAAGAAAATAGGTGGGCCCACCGAACCCGCGGCCTGAGGCAGGAATGGGTTCGGCCTGGTTTTTTCAGGCCCGCCCCACCCCGCCAATATGCGGGCTACGGAGTGGAAGCCGGCAAATTTTGACAGCTCTAAATGTATGCAGGGCGGATGTACATAGGGGCCGTAGGGGCACGGGCCCCTATAGAATTTTGTGTATTATAATAAATATGTGTTGTATGGATAAATGTATTATTATATTGACATAATAAAATACATGTTATTAATAATTATTATACAAAAAATTTAAATGAAATGTTTAGAATTATTTAACCTTCAATAGTATGTTATTTTTTAAGTTATGGAATTTATGTTTATGCTATAATCAAATTCTTGTTTATTTCCTTTCCCTTCTCAAAATACATAAAATATGAATATTATACATAAATGTATATAATATATATAATATATAGGGATTAGATCAAATGTGTCCTTATTCTTAAAATGTGGATGTGAGACTCAACCCTAGCTATTACATAAGAAACAATGTGTGTAGTCAAAATTTAATCTTTTTATTTTTTTAGTTGGTTAAATATTGATTTGACCGTTAACTTTTGACGTTGACCGTAGTTTGTGCCCCCGTTGTCCTAAACGTCTGCGTCCGCCCCTGAATGTATGCACTTATAGTAGGCACAATTTTTGCTCTACGTTCTATCCTTGAACAAATGTTGTGTTCTAGTCCATTTTCCCACTTTCTATTTAATTGTAATTATGTATTATTATAAGGTTTATTTTATATTTTTTATAAATATAAGGATATTTCATACTACTAACGTGGTACTAACGTGGTACCTGTGCGATGCACGAACTGATAATATTAATGGAAACATTTCCATTTGGATGTGGGATCATTGTTTCAAATCATAAAACACATTTATTGGATTAAAACAAAACGTTATCTATATATTATTAAACATCTCCTTGTACAAAACATTCTTTGTTTGAGTTTTTGATACATCATCATGGCCACAAATTAAAATGTAAAACAACCAGACTAATTTCCTCAAGAACATGCCAACATGCAATATCTTTCTTTTTTATTTTTTTCATTTGACATTGTATCTTCCGTCTTATGATTGCATTTGATATGGTAGCCATTAACGAAATATAGCATTTTTTTTTAAATTTAAATGGGGAGTATATATCACAGTTAATGTGTTGAAATGATTATAAAGATTGATTTGTATCCATCGGGGTTAATGCTTGAAGCATGTGCTATGTTTACGCTTTACAATTGTTAGTATTAGAAAAAACTGTTAAGATAATAGTTTTGGCAGTAAATCAATCGGCATGTTAAATAAATGAAAGATATAATATGATTTGTTTTGAAAGAAATAACTCTAATAATCGATAGTATAAAACAATCTGTTAAGATATATATATATATATATATTTTCCGTTTGATATTGTATCTCTGAATAAAATATAGCAGATTTTATTTAAATTTCGGTAGTATTTCTCCGACTATTAGTGTGTTGACATGATTTGTAAAGATTATTTGCATTGCATGTATCGAGATTATTGTCTGAAGCATGTGCAATATTTATGTTTAACAGTTGTTAGGATTAAAAAAATTGTTAAGATATAATAACTTCGGTAGAAAATCAATCAGTAGTTTAATAAATAAAAGATATGATATAATTTGTTTTGGAAGGAACAACATTGGCAACAGATAGTATAATTTTTTTTTGTTAAGTTATCAAAGATGTCCGTCTTTTTTTTTTTTGTTCAAATTGACATTGTATC